CACTGGTTCTGTTACAGATCCACTGGTTGTTATAGATCCACTGGTTCTGTTACAGATCCACTGGTTGTTATAGATCCACTGGTTCTGTTACAGATCCACTGGTTGTTATAGATCCACTGGTTCTGTTATAGATCCACTGGTTCTGTTACAGATCCACTGGTTGTTATAGATCCACTGGTTCTGTTACAGATCCACTGGTTGTTATAGATCCACTGGTTCTGTTACAGATCCACTGGTTCTGTTACAGATCCACTGGTTCTGTTACAGACTCACTGGTTCTGTTACAGACYCACTGGTTCTGAAGCAGAAAAGAAGAAATGAGACAGAAACCAACTGGTTTGTTCTGCTCAGTGGACCAACACTGCCCTCTGCTGCTGAGTCACTTTAACTCAGCTTTAGTTTATTTGAAGCTTTCAGCCACTGATGGAGAATTTTAACTTTTCTCTTCATGACTTCATGATTAACATGTTTAAATATCTGCAGGTCCCTTTCAACATGAAAACTACARAAATTACCTTTTCTATGTGAACGCTGAGTCCAGACGAAGCTAAAACTGAGCAGAACAAAAGCTAAAAGCAGCAGAATAGTAGCTTAAATTACCAAAACATATGTTCAAGCTAAAATGAGCAGTACAGCTAAAATTAGCAAGAGATGCAAAACAGACGGCGAAGCTGAAGTTAGTAAAACTGTTGTTAATATAAAAAAACTGTAACTAAAAGTAGCAGAACAGTTGMTAATGGCTAACAACTAAAGCAGCAAAACAATAGCTAAGAGCTAACAAAAGTTAAAATTAGCTAATTAGATGCTAAAGCTAAAATTGACAAAACCATAGCTTTAAGTAGCAGACAACAAAATTACTGAAAGTGTAGCTGAAACTAACAAATGATACARCAGTGGCTAAAAGCTAAAAGTAGCAGCTTCAAAAAGCATAAAGACATAAAAAGCAGCTGAAGAATTCAACTAGAACAATGTTTCCTAAAGGAATTAAATAGAAATTAATGTTTTTTTTTTCAGTGGAGAATTTTATTTTACATCAAGTTAAATGTTTTAAAAAGATAAACGTTTCAAAAACCAAAAATCACAGAACCTGTTTGATGAAAGAACCGAATGTTTTGATTTATAAACAGCTAAAATAATCTGCAGACGTATGAAAGAAACAGAAGAAACTAAAAACATGAAAACCTCAGTTTTATAAAGAATCTGTTTTCACCTGAACCGCTTCATTTTTACAGTTTATCTGATTTTTATATTTACATAATTAAAAATCAATAAATAAAATTAAATATCAACTCGTGGTTTCATGGATGAGTGAGTTACTTTAAAGTCTTCCTGGAGTCTCAAGAGTTTTTTCCCGGACGTTTTACGGCTCCAGGTTCTTGTCCTTGTGGGTCCTCATGTGGACGGACCAGCCGCTGTGATGCCTGAAGGCTTTCCCACATCTTTCACAGGAGTAGGGCTTCTCACCGGTGTGCATCCTCATGTGGACGGTCAGGTTACTGCGATGAGTGAAGCTTTTCCCACACGTTTCACAGGAAAACGGCCTCAAGCCCGCGTGGCCTCTCACAGAAACAGAATCCGGTCCAGCAGAACTTTGGCCCTGGCCCGTGTGAGTCCTYGTGTGGGTGATCAGATTATCGCGTCGACTGAATTCTTTCCCGCAGACTTCACAGGAGAAGGGCTTCTCACCTGTGTGCGTCCTCATGTGGACGGACAGCGTGCCGCTCTGTCTGAAAGTCTGCCGGCACACTTTGCAGACGTACGGTTTCTCTCCCGTGTGAGTTCTCAGGTGAACCGTCAACCCGCCGCTGTGCATGAAACCTCTGCCGCACACTTTACAAACGTAGGGTTTCTCCCCCGTGTGGGTCCTGGTGTGGATGGTCAGGTCGCCGCTCTCTCTGAAGGTTTTGCCGCAGATTTGACAGGCGTGTGGTTTCTCTCCTGTGTGACTTCTGTTGTGAACGTTCATTTTGTATTTACTCCTGAAGGTTTTCCCACAAACGTCACATATCAGAGACTCTGGAGCCGACTCAGTTCTGGACCACTTGTTGGAGCCAGAAGAACTTTYGTTTCTGTGACTTCTCTTCTTCAGGCTCAGATCAGTTTTTCCTGATGGTTCTGACCCAACAGCTTTGTTCTGGTTCTGGTGTGGACTCTCAGATCCAGGAGAGACTCGAGGCCGGAGCTGGTGGTTGTTTGGTTCTGGGTCACTGTCGTCACAAGTCTCCATGCAGGATCCAGTCTCCTGCTTCAGAACCAGCTGCTGACCGCTGCAGAACTCCTCCTGGTTCTCTTTAAGCTGTGGAGGTTCTGGTTCCAGACTGGAGATCCGGTCCTCCTCCAGCTGGACCTCTGAACAAACAMAAAGGTCACAAAATAAAAACTGATGTTTATCAGTGGTCCAACCAGCAGAGGACCGGTTCTGATGAGCAGAGAGTGGACTTGATTCTGTCAGAACATTCAGGTGTTTCTTCTGACTGAAGCACAGGAAGTCGCCCTCACCTGCTCAGGTAAAGGTTAAAGTTCAGGAGACACTAAGCGGTGATTGGATGTGTGGATACGTGGACCAGAACCAGGCCCTGCTCTGCTGCTGGTTGTGTTTCTGAAAGACCCGGCTCTGTCAGAGTCTGATGATGTCATCATGGTTCTGACGAGGAGGGTCCAGCAGCAACAGAACTTGTTTTTATTTATGTTAAAAACAGATGTTTTCACCTCGTGGAAACGGTTCTGACYGAGTCCAAATTCAGGTAGGCCGGGTCCTTTGAAGGAACGTTTGTTGTTCGAGGAGCGGCTCGGTCACACGCTGATGTCATTAGTTTGTTATCATTACTGAGCTGCAGGACTGATTTTTCTCTGTTTTCACATCATGTCGTCTGTTTGGATCTGTTGTTATCTCACTCTGAAGCACAGAGTGGTTCAAGAATCTTACCAAGTAAAATTTTCTTACTCCACTGGCAGAAATGTTTGACTTAATTAGAGTCAAATTTTCAGACTAACAAGACAAATAATCTTACACATTCTGAAAACAAGATGATTATTCTTACACAATCAGTTCTTGTTTAGTAAATCAGTCTGAAAACAAGATGAAACAGACTTTTTGGCTGATATAAGATTTTAAAACTTGGTAAGATGGACAGTTTTTGCAGTGTAATACTTCAGTACAGTACATATCAGATACTTTAAAGCTCAAGTAATATTCTTAGAGAAAAGTTTAACTTTTAATGAAGTCATTTTCTGATCAGAAGCTTGTGTTTTTCTATCAGTTGAAGTTAGTTTATATTAAACAGCTCAGTCAGGAAACAGTTTAAATCGTCTGAACAAGTTAAACGTCTGAAAATCTCTGATCAGTTTCAGCTTCAGCTGCTGAGAGTCTAAATTTACTTTTTATTCATTTAGTTCCWGTTTGTGTTTTAATAATAACTGTTATTAATCAAATAAAAGCAGTTTTACCTGACAGCAGACTCACTTTATATTAATAACTTCCTGTTTGTAAAATAAAAGTCTTTGCTTCATAAATCAGGAGTTCAGATGAATTTATTTTGGAGTAAATTGGTTCAGAGATATTTTGTGAAACTTTTAGTATTTTATTTATTTTCTGCTCAGAATAAAACGATGAAAGATTTAAACTAAAACTATTTAACTATTTAAAGATAATTTAACAGTTTATTTTATTTCTGCTCCTGAGATAAAAATTAAAAACATCCAGGATCAGTTTCTCGGGTCCAGCTGAGTCCACGGTGTCTGTGAGGTTCTGGAACTGACCTATAATGTGTAGCTGGGTCTCAGGGTCCAGCAGGTGGTCCTGAGGATCAGGATCTTCATMAGGTTCTGGCTTCCACCGGACCTCCTGCTTCAGAACCAGCTGCTGGACCTCCGGACTGCTGCRGGGGTCTTCTGGTTCCTCTTTGATCTGTGGAGGTTCCTCCTGGTCCAGACCCGGGTTCCTCTCCGGGTCAACAAGAACTTCCTTCTGTTCTTCAGACATGTTACAGCTGCAGGTCTGCAGGAGGAAAACAACAGAACATCTGGGTTTGGATCAACATAAACCTGCTGCTGYTGGACCAGAACCACTGAGACCAGGACTGATGAGAACCAGAACTGTGGACCCAKAGTCCTGCACAGGTTCTGACAGGTCCAGTCTTGGTCCTGGAGGGTCACTATCCCCCAACACCTGCTTCATTGAAATAAAGGATGAGCAGAACCCTGCAGAACATGAAGACCCGCAGAGAAGGACCAACAGTTTTATTTCACCGGAAGTTAAAGTTGTAAAAAACTTCAGTGGTTTTCAGGAGCCACAGCTGTTCATCACATCTGTAAACATATTTAATAAACTGAGGTAAAGTTACAAACCTGCTGGGTTCATCTTGTTCTGCACAGGTTTCCAGCACAGATCCATCATTTTTCTGCTCCGATTTGTTTCTTTAAAATCCATCAAACTTCCTCCAGAATCTCTGAAAAACTCTGAAACTCTTCTTCTGTCAACAGAAATAATCAAATCTCCACTGAAGAACCAGAAACAGCCGCAGACTCCTCTGGTTTCAGCTGTTAGCCGCTGTTAGCTTGTTGTCCTTTTCTTCTTCTGGGGTTTATTTCCGGGTTGCAGTTTGACTCCACCCCCTGGTGGCCATAAACGAAACTGCATCTGATTTATAACAGGTTAAAAAGAGGTTTTCGTCAACAATATGATCTATATTTCGATAAACATTAAATTGTATTTAAATTTATATATGTCAACAAATC